TCTCCTCCTTAGGAGGTGTGATAGAGGATTGTGCAAGGATTGTAAGATTATTCCGAGTGAGATACTCGTGACGCAGCATAGGCTCTTGGTGATGGACGTTGGTATTAAAGAGAAGGAAAAGGTTTGCTGAGGACGACCGAGAATCAGGTGGAGTGCCTTGACTGAGGATAAAGCCCATGAGTTGGAGGGGCGGTTATCGTCTAAGGAAGCTGGAGGAACAGTGGTGACGCGAGCATTATGTGGTCGACGACAGCAGACTGTATAAGGGAGGCTGTGAGAGAGGTGTTAGGGATCTTGACGGGCGTCTCTAGCAGGCACAAAGGAGACTGATGGTGGAATGAAGCGGTCCAAAGTAAAGTGGAAGATAAGAAGGCGGCATACCTGAAGTTGGTAGGAAGCACATGTGAGGAGGATAGGAGAACGTGCATGGAGTGGTATAAGGTAGCTAGGAAGGAAGCTAAGCTGACGGTCACGGAGGCTAAGACTGTGGCCTATGGCCGTATGTACGAGGAACTGGGGGGGAAAGGCGGAGAGAAGAAGTTACTCCGGCTAGCCAAGACGAGAGAGAGGAAGGCTCGGAATTTGGACCAAGTGAGATGCATCAAGGACGACGATGGTAGAGTATTTATAAAGAAGATGGCTGACTTACTTTCATGAACTTCTGAATAAAGAAGGGGATCGGGATATTGTGCAAGGTGGAGCATTCTGAGAGTCACCGTGACTTTGGGAACTGCATGCACATCGAGGTTGAGGAGGTCGTAGGAGTTATGTGCAAGATGAGTATAGGCAAAGCGACTGGGCCAGACAAAATTCCGGTTGAATTTTGGAAGTGTGTGGGTAGAGCAGGCTTGGAGTGGCTAACTAGGTTTTTTAATGTTATATTTAGGACGAAGAGGATGTCGGAAGAGTGGAGGTGTAGTATGGTAGTTCCATTGTATAAGAACAAAGGTTATATCAAGAGTTGTAACAATTATAGGGGTATCAAATTACTGAGTCATACCATGAAAGTTTGGGAGAGGATGGTTGAAGCGAGGGTGAGGAGTATGGTGTCTATATTCGACAACCAGTTCGGGTTCATGCCGGGTCGTTCCACTACAGAAGTTATACACCTTATTAGGAGGTTGGTGGAACAGTTTAGGGAAGGGAAGAAGGGTCTGCACATGGTGTTTATTGATTTAGAGAAAGCGTATGACAAGGTTCCTAGAGAAGTTCTCTAGAGATGCTTGGAGGTAAAAGGCGTGCCGGTTGTCTACATTGGGCAATTAAGGACATGTATGATGGAGCTAAGACTCGGGTGAGGACAGTAGGAGGTGACTCTGAGCAGTTTTCGAGGGTTATGGGGTTACACCAGGTTTTGCACTCGGCCCATTCTTATTTGCCCTGGTGTTAGACACGTTAACACACCGTATTCAAGGGGAGGTACCATGGTGTATGTTATTTGTCGATGACATAGTTCTGATTGATGAGTCGAGAACCAGTGTTAACGAGAGGTGGAGGTCTGGAGATAGGCTCTTGAGTCTAAGGGTTTCAAGCTGAGTAGGACGAAGATGGAGTACCTAGAGTGTTAGTTCAACACAGAGCCGAGGGAAGTGGGCGTGGAAGTGAGGCTTGAATCACAGGTCATCCCAAGAGTGGCAATTTCAAGTACCTTGGGTCAGTTATCCATAAAGGGAGGGAGATCGATGAGGATGTCACACACCGTATTGGGGTGGGGTGGATGAAGTGAAGGTCAGCATCTGGAGTCATGTGTGACAAGAGAGTGCCACCGATACTCAAAGGTAAGTTTTACAAAGCGGTGGTTAGATCGGCCACGATGTACGGGGCTGAGTGTTGGCCTATTAAGAACTCACATATCCAGAAGATGAAAGTAGCAGAAATGAGGATGGTGAGGTGGATGTGAGGACACACTAGGATGGATAAGATTAGGAATGAAGATATTCGGGACAAGGTGGGCGTGGCTCCCATTGATGACAAGATGAGGGAAGCTAAGCTCAGATGGTTCGGACACGTACAAAGGAGAAGCCCAAATGCTCTGGTAAGGAGGTGTGAACGGCTGGCTTTGGAGGGCATGAGAAGAGGTAAAGGACGGCCTAAGAAGTATTGGGGAGAGGTGATCAGGAAGGACATGGCGAGGCTTCAGATTTTCGAGGACATGGCCATTAATAAGAAGCTGTGGAGGTCGAGCATTAGGGTTATAGGTTAGGAGGTAGCTGAGTCTTTCCTTACTCCGTACCTTTGTGAGGCTAGTCTGGTAGGGTTTTTGTCGAAGTCAGTTAATGGCAATGTTGCATCTTACTACTCTTTCATTTTCCATAGTGACGGGTCTATGTACTGTCTATCACTTATGCTTTGCATCTACTTTCTGATTTTCTTGATGTTATTTTTTACACGGTTTCTACTAGTGGTACTGATATTATCTCTTTTCGTCTTCTTGAGCCGAGGGTCTTTCGAAAATAGCCTCTCTACTCCCTCGGGATAGGGGTAAAGTTGCGTACACACTACCCTCCCCAGACCTCACTAGTGAAATTTTACTAGATCGTTATTGTTGTTCTTGTAAATAGTAGTACAACAGGAAATAGGCCTAAACTCAGATGGATGGATTCTGGACCTACGGGATGAGAGTCACAGTGGTACAATTAATGGCCTTATCTAGTTCAGCGGATGTGAAGAAATCCTGCACAGCCTCAACTATTTTATCATCAATAATTGACCATGATCTTTTAAAGAATGGGGCATTATACTCATCGCATCCTGGAGCTTTTAAGTCATCAATTCCTTGCAAAGCCTTATAGATTTCCTCCTTTGACACATGCTCAATAAGTTATAGCTGTTGTATTCTGTTGAGTATAGGTCCATTTTTCATTATACTTGGATTAATAGGTAGTAGTGAATTTGCTTAAGACCCTAATAACTACTGGTAAAACCCTGTAATCTCATGTATCAGCTCATCTTGTGATTGGGTGTGTGCACCATTCTGAGTAGCCAGTGTAGAGATCCTATTTTGAGCCAATCTGCTTTTGATGCTTGCATAAAGTAAGAGGTGTTAGAATCCCCCAATTTAAGCCATTGAACCTTAGATTTCTGTTTGTAAATATTTTCTTCCACCATTGACCACTTGTCTAGATTATTCCTCAAATCTCTTTTACTATTATTTAGCTCAGCTGGATGGTCGGGGTCCCTCATTTTCTCTTGAACTACCCGAAGTTGTGCCCTGGTGACCTTGATCTTGTCAGTAACATATTTAAATTCCTTGTGATTAAGCTTCTTCAATTCAACTTTCAGCAATTTCATAGCAAGAAATCTATGTGCTCTGCAAGTTGATTAAAGAACTTAAAAGGCTTGCTGGGTTATGTACTTCGTGATTAAAACAAAGGCACATAGGAGTGTGATCAGAGCGCATAGGATCATACACTATCGCCTCTATTTGTGGCATAGTATCCAACCACCTTGAGTTCACCAAAGCCCTATCAATCTTACTATGGTCATGGTTATTAGTCCAGGTATACTTTCTTCCAATAGTCATCAATTAAATTAGCCCAGTATCCACCATGAAATTTGAGAAGTCCATGGTTTCCATCTCCTGAATTTGGCTCCCATTATACCTGTCGTCCACATTTAGAACAACATTATAGTCCCCCATAGCAATCGAAGGGCCATTAGTTGCATTACACACTTGTCTCAATGCCTCCCATAAGGGTCTTCTCTGCTCCACAGTATGCAAGCTATACACATCTGAGAGCACGAACTTTACATTCGTACTATGTATTAAGACTCTCCCTGTAATAATCTGTGATGAAATGTTGAGCATGTTAAAATCCAGCACTCTCGGATCCTATAACACCCATATTCTACCCCTACTGCTTGCTGCATAATTATCAACCCACTTCCAGTTACTAATTATCTTCTGTATCACTTGTGTTGTTTTGTGCTCTTTTACCATATGTTCAATTACCGCAACTAGAGCTACTTTATTTTTTTTAATATACTTCTTTATTTCATTATATTTATATACTTTATTCAAGCCCCTAACATTCCATGTAACAACAATCATGTAGGAATAAACAAGCCATGAGAATCAAACTGTACCACCCTGCTACTCGGTTCTCCAGCAGCTTCAACTACTTCCATGACATGGGAGCTAGATTCAGTTAGATTACTAAATCCATTTGAAGTTATTACGACCTTATTTGATTTCTGCTTTACACCTTTAGTCAAAGATTTTCCTTTCACAATCTTCCATCCATCTTCTTGATTTTGATCCTCTATTATAATTGATTGTATTTTTTGAATTTTCTCCCTTCCTGCAATTTGCGCTTGCCCCAGTATGCTCAGATTCTCTCCAATCATTTGCCATGTTTTGTTCCATTCTTGTAGTGGCTTCTGGTATTTGGTTTTTGGTTGCTTAGGTGATGGATTCTCCTTTATTGGATCTTTACATATATGTCCCAATTGCAAACAGATTGGGCAGTAGAGTGGCTTTCAATCATACCAAACCTCTTGATCCAAAACCCTTCCATTTGGATCTTCTCCTTTTATTTGCTTTGGCAACGGCCTTGTTACATCCATTTCTACTAGAATCCTGGCATAAGAAATACTTCCCACTTTAGTCGTCCAATCATCTGCATATAATGGTACGCCCAGTATACTACAAATTCTACTTAGAGAATTAGATTCCCAACAGTTCAATGGTAGATTCGGCAGTTGCACCCACAACAGAATAGTCTTCAAGACCTCATTGTTGAAATTAAAATCCTCAGACCACATCTAAATAATTCTTGGCTTGCTATTCAGAGTGTAAGTGTCACGCCCCAACTTTGGGGAGCGCAACCGGCGCTCAACCGAGTGAACCCGATCGAGCAAGCCTATTAGACACTTTCTACCCAACTCAGTTATGACCAAGAGGAGGCATGGTTTCATTAATTAAACAATAGAAGGGGTGTATATATAAACATTACTAATTCATTTTGTTTTGCTACATCGTTGTTAAGTTTCCAAAATACATACACATTATGATTTAGTGAGACAAGAGTCCAAATACAACATAATTCATCGGACCTTTCTAGCACCCATACACAACCCACAAAATGTCTACGGAGCCTCTAAAGATACAAAAGAGAGAGTTATGAAAATTCCGGCAACAAGGCCCCGGCAATACCTCAAAAAATAGTAATAATAGAATCAAGAGATAAGAACATGGCCCCGGGATGAAGTGGGGGCTCACCGAGACTGCTGGGGGAAGAGGATACACCACTAGCTGCGATCAACACTGTCTGCCTTGGAAACACCTACATCCATTTAAAGATGTAGCGCCCCGGCAAAAAGGAGTTAGTACTGTCGAATAGTACTAGTATGTAAAGCTAAAATACCATCTTAATAGAATGAACAATTAAACATAGAGAAAACAGTCATGATGTACAACAAGAGCTTTCAAACAAATACAAAAGAAAACATCACGTAAGGATTACAAAGTCTCTGGTTAAATTCCCATCTTATTAAGTTGATAATCTCAGTGCCATATGCCATAATCCACAATACCGTCGTGTTCCTACATAGAATCCGATCTCGACCCGATCGGCTAGGCCATCTCTTTTGAGACGTCAACCAAATCCACAATTCCAAATCGATCATTTTCAGCACAATCACCACCATGTGTGCGGCATGGCGTCTGATCACGGCCCGATCGGCTAGGCCGTCTCCCTTGAGATATCAACCAAATCCACAATCCCATATTTCAATACATTGGTACGAGTTGCTTTACTTATTAAGTCATCTTGTCACTTGGCCGCATTTTATAATTCAAGTTTCCCTTTTTACATATTCAATAACATTATCACCAACAACAATAAAGCCTATCATGTAAGGCATTTTCACACACCAGGGAAATGCTTTGAAATTCTAAGCACATAGAGGATTTTCATACAAACCGGCACAACAATCTTTATTCAATTTCTTTGACATGAATTCTTAGCCTTTCTCAATACATATTCCACATTTGTAAGCATATTCACAAATTGCATGACGACATGATAAACATTTAAAACAATCATTGAACATAAATCTTTCAACACAACACATTAGGGTAACGATTCTAGTATGATCAATTTCGGAACTTACACTAATTACATGAACACCAGGGGTTCGATTCTAAGAAGAAAGAGGTTTAGCCATACATACATTGTTTAAGCTTTCCTTAAGTTACTACAACATTCCGAAAATTCTAGCAATCCTAATGTATTTTGAGACATAACAAAATCGAGCACAAATTAGGAAGATATTTATGGTTTCAGCTCATTTGAGCATTTTATCAAACACTAGTTGTGCATCTTGATTTCAAAGCTCTTCTACAAGATTTCCTTCATTACCCAACCGATCTTTATATATTCGTGTCCAATGATCTTCCCACAAACCTTATTTGTACATGCATGTATACATAATACTATTACACCCAAGAATCATACCTCAATAACCCATCTTATACCCCAAACTCAAAAATAAAGTCTAGTGTATAGAATCTTACCTCTTAGATGAAGGTTTTGTGATTGGTTTCCTTGATTCTTGAAGATTGATGAAAGATTGAATGGTTAGAATGTTAGGCTTCCTCCTTCTCTCTCTAAAATTCTCTTACCTCTCTCTAGAATCATCAGAATATCGCCCCAAATGAAGCTCCAAAGCCTATTTATGAAAACGGGGTCGGATTATGAAAATAGGAAAATTAACCCTCCGAACTCGGTCTGCGGTCGCAGAATGGACCGCACAATTGGTATGCGGGTCGCATAATGCACCGCAAAACTGGTGCCCAGAACTGGGCTACACTGGTCCATTTTGCGACCATTTTTGCGATCGCAGATCAATTATGCGGACCACATAATGATTCTGCGATCGCAGAATCTGCCACGGGATCGCATTTTGCCAGTCTTTGGTAATTTGATCATAACTTTGTGTAGGAATGTCCAAATGACGAACGGTTTGAAGCGTTAGAAACTAGACTTGAAGATCTTTCATTTGATAGGTTGTTCATCACATAACACCTTATATATATATTTATATATGCTCATCCAAAGTATGGACTTGTGCGAACTCATTTGAAATTTTAACCTATTATGTAATTTTCCAACTTGACTTAGACTTAGGCTTCCCCTTAGACCCCACATTACCTATTATAAGACTTATACACTTATTACCATATCCAATTGATATACATCATACTAATTAGAACATAAAATATTATAGTTAGCCTACCTGGCACCACGAAATCTTAAATTACTTAGAGAAATTTTTTCGGGGCATTACAGTAAGGCCCAGAGTACACTACAACATTCCTATCCTCCGTAGAGTTAAACAACACTAAAAAGCATTCATTATTATGTAAGTAAACTATCGGTCTAGAAACAAAGTTCCACTGACTTGCTATAAATCTGTCTATGGTCCCAATACTTGGTGTAGCACCAACAACATACACTATAAGATATAATTTCCACTTCTCTGTAGCTTTCTCTATCACCTCTTTGCACAACATAGCTACTTTCTCACAATTCTTAATTGTAGGGGCAATAAACTGCAAATTCATACCTCTGGAAGCCATTTTATTTGCAGCAAATAGGCTTTTCCATTTCTGATCGTCATTCCCCTGTATTGGCAGATCCAATTGCCTTTGTGCTCCAACTGCTTCCTTCATCTGATTCCCCACATTTTCTTTAGTTGGTACCGCAATTTCATTGTGTGAGCTCTTTTCCTTCTCCGATACGCTCGAGGTAGAAGCCCTCTCCATTGATGTTACCAGGTTCGGCGAAGTTTTGATTTCCTTCGTAGGTAAATTTGGCCATTGCTCCGTCAGCTCCTTCCCACTCGCTATCCTCATATGTTCCTCTATCACCCCCCACAGACTTCCGTCCAGTTCCGAGAACTGGTAGATCCTCCAACTCAGTTGCAGCTAACGCTCTCCGAGGTCGTCCCCTAGGCATTTTCGATGGTGACGCACAATAGCAAGTTTCACTCTATCATACGCCGAGAGCAGAATACCTAATGAAACATTGAAACTTTTCACCGGGAATATAATTAAAATGACTATTTTATCTAGTATGAAATCTATTTTAAAAGGGTAAAAAAGGTAAACGATATTTCGCTAAGGATCTTCGTAACTTTAATATAGTATAGATAATCTTGGTAATTATTAGGGTTTAGAGTCAGCCCTTCCTCGGAAAACAAAGTTAAAATATCATGGTATAGCCAGTTTTCACACTGGTCAATGAAAAATAGCCACCGTTTATCAAGTCAATGAAAAATATCCACTATTTTGCTGCAACAGGGACCGATCCAGTATAATATACGGGAGTTCTAGTGCATTTGTGTACGAACTCCAGCATATTATGCTGGACCGGTATACTTTGCTAACTCCTGTAAAATTTGCGGGAGACTGGAGCACCAGTGCTCCAAACTCCAGTATATTATACTGGACAATTATACTTGCTGGAACTCCCGTAAAATTTGCGGGAGTTCCAGCATAATTATGCTTGAACTCCCGTAAAATTTGCGGGAGTTCCAGCATAGTTATCCTGGAACTCCCGTAAAATTTACGGGAGTTCAAGCATACTTATGCTGGAACTCCCGTAAAATTTGCGGGCGTATTTTTCCGGATTTTGAACAGTGTTTTCGCTCAGATTTAAAGTGGCTAAATTTCGATAACTTTTGAAACTTGGCTATTTTTCAACAACCAGTGGTAAATCTGGCTATTTTTGAATTTCATTGAACCTTGTTTCACTAATTGTATTTGACGCATTGATTAAGTTTTAAGTTATCTTGATTTTTGTTGATGTAGCTAATGTCCAAGTTTTAAGTGTAGATTCATCACAATTGCCGTCAAAGTATGTTGAACGGACTTGGAACTAAAAAGGATACGTAGACACAACTTTCTTTAAGAAAAAAAGGTTTAGTAGGTTTGGAATTCCTAATTTTGGATGGTAATTATAATTTTATAATAATATAAAAGATATTAGAATTCCATAGAAAGTTTAAATAAGAAAATTTGTAGGTGACTTCAAAGCTTCAAGGAAAATAATGAATTTAGTTGATTTAAAACTCCTAAATATTAGGAAAAATAATTTAATTATGATTTTGTCCTATGTAAAATTTATTTTAAAGGGATAAAAAAAGCGAACAGTATTTTACTAAGAATTTTCGTACTTTTAATAGAGTATAGAAAATAAGAATTTTCGTACTTTTAATAGAGTATAGATATAGATATAAGGAAAGCTCCTGAATTATGAATTAGTTTTTGGATCTTCAAGTTCCATATTTCCTCTTGTACATCATCGTTCTTCCATTAGTTTTTTTTTTTTTTTTTTTTTTTTTTTTTTTTTGTATATTCCACGTTTGTAATGATGTAAAGAGAAACCCGTACAAACCAAAATAACTTAGTTACTGTATTGCAATTTATGCTTTATATCATAAATTACTCAATGTATTATAATCTCCACTATACCATGCTATGTTTATTGATATATTATTATCCGTCGACATGTTGTATAAATTTATAGGTGAAGTTTATTATCAATAACGGTATAAATAATATTATTGAAATATATACCAAATTCAAAATTTATTCTTTTAAGATAATTTTCTAATATTTTAAGAAAGGATGTTCGTATACAGAGATCAACTAGATATTTATGTAATTTTAAAAAGTGTATATGCATTGACATGGGGTATAGCGCAACAACGTGGAAGAATTAATCGAAACAGCTGCCCACCAAATCGATTAAACTAAAAATAGCCGGTGAATGTTTAATACATACATATTTTATGTATTATACGTATATAATTATGTATAATCAATGTATAAACTATGTATATGGCTAGAAAAAGTAAACAATAATATGACGGGCTATTTGTATAAAAATATGAAAAGGTTTCAACCCAAAAACAAAATAGAAATCCTATTATCAAATACTCTCCCGCCACTGGTTCTGTCGTCCCTTTTCTATTCACTAGTATTTTGGTGCGCGCGTTGCACGTGTATCCCATCTCAATAAGTATAAATTTTTCCAAAAGCTCATAATATTATATTAAAATTTGTATTTAAATTATTAAATAAAAGTTAAAAAGAAGTGTGAGTTCCTGAAAATGATAATTTATTAATTTCCGAGAATCAGTTTAGATTCATGTCGGGGCGTTCGACTACGGAAGCAATTCATCTGGTAAGGAGATTAATGGAGCAATACAGGGAAAGGAAGAAGGTTTTGCATATGGTGTTTATTGACCTTGAGAAAGCGTACGATAAAGTCCCGAGGGAGGTCCTGTGGAGGTGTTTGGAGGTAAGCGGCGTCCCGGTAGCGTACATTAGGATGATTAAGGATATGTATAAGACTCGGGTGAGGACTATGGGTGGTGACTCGAAGCATTTCCCTGTGGACATGGGGTTGCACCAGGGATCGGCTCTTAGCCCATTTTTATTTTCCTTGGTGATGGATGTACTGTCGTGACAAATCCAAGGGGAGGTGCCTTGGTGCATGCTATTTGCCGATGATATAGTGTTGATTGACGAGACGCAAAGCGGAGTTAACGCGCCGTTGGAGGTTTGGAGACAGACCTTGGAGTCTAAAGGTTTCAAACTGAGTAGAACCAAGACAGAATACTTGGAGTGCAAATTCAATGATGAGACCCATGATGCAGACGTAGAGGTTAAGCTTGATGCTCAAGTTATCCCCAAGAGAGAGAGTTTTAAGTATCTCGGGTCTATTATCCAGGGTGACGGGGATATTGACGAAGATGTCACACATCGCATCGGAGCGGGGTGGATGAAGTGGAGGCTCGCTTCCGGTGTTTTATGTGATAAGAATGTGTCGCCAAGACTTAAGGGTAAGTTTTATCGAGTGGTGGTCCGACCGGCTATGCGGTATGGGGTTGAGTGTTGGCCAGTCAAGAACTCCCATGTGCAGAAGATGAAAGTAGCAGAGATGAGAATGTTGAGATGGATGTGCGGGTGTACCAGGAGAGATAGGATTAAGAATGAAGCTATCCGGGACAGAGTGGGAGTAGCCTCTGTGGAGGACAAGATGCGAGAGTCGAGGCTGAGATGGTTCGGACATGTTAAGAGAAGAAGCATTGATGCTCCTATCAAGAGGTGTGAGAGGTTGGCCGTGGAGAGTTTTAGAAGAGGTCGAGGTAGGCCTATGAAGTACTGGGGAGAGGTGTTAGACAAGACATGGCGCTGCTTCAGCTCACTAAGGACATGACTCTTGATAGGAGGTGTGGAGGTCGAGGATTAAGGTAGAAGGTTAGTGGATAATTTTTAGTGTTCACCGATAGTCTTAGTAGCATGAATGTCTCCTCATATTCTTAGATTTTTATTACGTTATGTGGTTTTGTTCGCCTCAGGTATTGTATTGCCCGTTACTGTTATTTGGTACTACTTATCCTTTATCTCTCCCTTTTTCTTGTCTCTTCCTTCTTTGTTCCTTTCTTGCTTTCCTTTTCTTCTTCTTGCCCTTCCTGAGCCGAGGGTCTATTGGAAACAGCCTCTCTACCTGCATTAGGTAGGGGTAAGGTCTGCATACAGACTACCCTCCCCAGACCCCACCTGTTGGGATCATACTAGGTTTATTGTTGTTGTTGTTATTTAATTACTCAATAAAAGAAAAAACTATGTCCAAAAAAATCCTCAATCATCTTAGTCAACTAACAGAAGACGTCCTTATTTTTTCTCATGAGCAAAATGTAAATTCTCTTCTTTTTTTTTTGAGGCAAACAGGGGAATATTATATATATATATATATATATAATATATATATATATATATATATAATATATATATATATATTAATAACTAAGAAGCGTTTAGTACAGGTTTATAATAAGATGTGTCACGAAGGACACACTGGTTTCTTAAGCTTGCTAACAGTTGGCAAGCTTCAAAATATAGTAGTTTTTCATGAGTAGTAATTTCAAGTCTTTCCCCATCCACAAAATCTATTACATCACTTGGTGGTCTAACAAAAACGTTTTTACTGTGCCCCTGTGCATTACTGCTTCCAGCTGCTCCAAAAACTTGACTATCCATGTCCAGACACTTCTTTGCTAGTTGATGAGCTGTCCTATTCCCCTGCCGGAAGGTGTGCTGGAGGATAACCTTCTGTTGGTGCATTAACCACCTGCAATTATTCACAACCTTGTTAAATAAATTGTTAACTTCATGTATTGCCTGAATTACCTCTGTGCAGTCTATCTCTATTTCCCGTGGGAATAGTTTTCACTCCATTGTTGTTCTGAGACCTTCTCTTAGAGCTTTCAATTCTGCTGCTAGTGAACCACTTGCATGAGATGATTTAGTAAAACCAACCACCCAATTACCATTGGCATTTCTGAAAACACCACCTAAGCCATAATTTTGGTTATAGTTACTGAAACTGGCATCAATGTTTAGTTTAAACCAACCCCTTGGAGGTTTGTGCCAATTGATTTTGATGAGTAATTTCGGAGGGTGTATAGAGATTTTTTCCGTGAGTAATTTGAATTCTATAGCCCTTTGCATGATAAGAGACTCATTGATCGGGTTGGTAGTGTTATTATGGTTATTATTGTTTCTATTAATCCAAATGTGCCAAATGATAAAGGGAAAATAAGAGTTCCAGTTTAAAAAAGTGTTACTAAGAGGGTAGTTGAGGTCTCTTACTTGGATAAGCCAGTGGGTATCGTTTTGGCTATTGGGGTTTTGCCAGCGAAGGCAAGCCCAAATTGGTTGACGGCTTTGCATTCTAGAAAAATATGCTTTATGGATTCTTCTATAGGACTTTTACAGATGGGACAGAAAGGGTCAATGTTTAGTCCAATTTGTGAAAGGTATTTCCTGCAAGGGATTCGGTCATGTAGGCATTGCCACAAAAAATATTTTATTTTATTGGGACAGTCTAGTTTCCAAATCCAGTCAAATTATAAGTCAATATTTTTTGGTGTTTCTAGAAGAGTATAACATGACTTAGTAGTGAACACCCCCTTATTGGTGAGGGACCAAATAGGTAAGTCA